GTGTGTCTGTGTGTGTGTGCAATCGGAGATACCCACCCTTGCATCCTCTGAAGCTCCTGTTCTCACTCTCTTCATTGCTACGGTTGTCCCCATGATGCGGGCAGAGAGCTATACCGATACTCTCCATGACCTTGTTGCCTGTATGCCGTGAACCAAATATAGGAGATCTGCCTCTGCTGTGTTGATTTTTCCGTCTGATTGTCGGCACCAGAATATGCCTAGGAAGTACCTAGTCATAGTCCAGCTAGACATAGGCCCCACTGGTGCTGTGGTTGTGTTTAGAAGCCTCAACCTAGCCAGTCCATGATGCGTTGGCAAATATAGAACCCAGATCTGCCTGCCCTCCGGTTGAGGTAGGGCCCATGGGAAAATGTCATTCCTGTTGCTGTACCGTGGAACAAAAAAAGAGGCCTTTTTGGGCCACGAGAAGGGTAGAGGAACAAACATGTGGCATCAGATGACTGTGTCCATATTGGCTTAGGTAGTTTACAATACTATCGAGGCCCCTGACCATCAAAAAGGGCCCATTTGGGGTGTTTGCCGTTCGTGCACACGAGCAGAGATGATTCCCAGCTGATCACGAAAAATTAAGACCGGCCGCACATCTTGGCCGTTTTTGCGCCCCGATGGCGCATATCACTGGACAATTTACTTTTTCGATGATCAGCCATGAATCGGGGCACTCGTGTGGACAAATGGCCCAGATGGCCTGCTAAATTCTGGAAACCAATGGCCTTTCCCACGCCGACCCCGAGGGACCACTGGCCTTCTTTTCCTTTTGCTTGGTCAATTCTTCGCTCCGCCAGCAAACAGGAAGTCAGGAGCGAAGGTCATCTTCTGCATGCGTTTGTGAATGGTTTGCCGGCCGTCCCAACTACACCACTAGGTGTTACACTGTCCCATCAACACAACTGGCCGTAACCACCACCAAGAGAGAGAGAGAGAGAGAGAGAGAGAGAGAGAGAGAGAGAGAGAGAGAGAGAGAGATGGGTGAGCCACTGCTCTTAAGTTCTACCCCCAACATCCCCAATCTTCCTCCTCCCACTCTAGCTTTTCACCATATCTCTATCTCTCCCCATCTTCTCTCCGTTTCCCAGGCATCCTAAGGTTCTTTTTCTGGTGTATATTTTTTTTGCCTTTGTTTTCCCTTGAACATTTGTTATCATACCGTGAGCACAAATGCATCACCTTTCTTCCTCTTTTATTTTTCCTTGCGACTCTTAGTTTTGTTTGCGAGCGAAAGCACGAAAAGTCGTGGAGTAAAATCATAATCGCGGTGTCTGAACTATCCAGCAAAAAAATGGTAACAAAGGAGTGAACAAGGGAGGGAAGCTTCTGAAGATTTGCTGTTGTGATTTGTGTACCGTGGCAGGTCTGCTATCTGTCAAAAACATGGTTTGGGGACATATTGGCAATGATGATCTTTGGGACAAATGAGCTGACAGGAGACCTTGGCTTCAAACAAGACAACACGACCATGATCTGCAGATTTGTGCTTAGGTCGACGTCTGCAAGTGTTTTGAGGGAGATAGATGCGGAAGTGCAAGAATGGCTCGATGATCTGACAGATGGAAAGTTGCGTGCAGCTGCGGAGGAGGACATAAACAAGGAGGTTGAAGAGAAGCTCAAGCACGAGGAGAAGCTGACAGCTGTGCGGGAAGAAATCATTGCTTCATCTGGGGCATTGAAACCCTCGGCCGCCCCCAGCGAGGATTCCCTTTTGCCGGGACTGCTTCCCGTGGAAACACCTACTCCTAAAGATGCATCCGGCGCCGAAAGTGAAGAGTTGAAAGCCCTGCAGATGGCTGTTATTCTGGAATGGGAGACACTGCGATCAGTTCATGCATTGAGCTGAACAAGGCCGCCTGGTGACGGATGTTAGAGTGAATAAGCTGATGGGGGCGCTCTGCCCAATTGTCTTGCGATGAAGCAGGTTAAGAATGGGGTGTGCAGCAGGATTGGGTACATGGAAAGGTAGGTGGAGCAAAAAGGAGTTTTGAGCAGCGCATCTGCTGACGAGGTGCACAGAGAGGTTACCTAAGGACTGCCAAGCGGACTTCTGCTGTGTAAAGTGTGGGAGGGGGCAGCAGGATTGGGTACACGGAGAGGTAGGCAGAGCCAAAAATAATTTTGAGCAGCGCATTTGCTTATGGAGTGCGCAGCGAGGTTGCCTAAGGGCTTCCCAGCAGGTTTCTGCCGTCTAAAGCGTGGGAGGGGTGTGTGTCACGTCCTGGGTAACTCGTGCAATGTTAGTTCATCCATCAACCAGGGCTCCTACCGTGTGGAGACCCCAGTTTGGGAAAGTTTAATGTAACAAGCTCAGGATGCTTCGATGCAATAAGCCAAGCGAGAACTCATACGAGGCCAAGCATTAGCATTAAAAGCCTTAAACGGTAAGTATGACCTCTGGCATTAGAAGCTCAGGATGCTTTGACGCGGCACGTCCGGTGCCCTTATCTCGGCTAGAAAGTGGAAATGCTGGGAAGTATTGTGGATTCTTTTTATTCTATCGACTAGGGAGCTAGCTACAGGTTTGTATCTATGTGAAGTTTCCTTTTACGTATTCTTTGGTTGTGCATGCATCTGCAAAACCATTTATCATGAAGAAATAAGCCAAGTTTTTTCTCCTTCCCCCCCCTTCCTGGTTCTCGTACATGGTCAAATGCGAAATTCATTCGGCTGTTGTGCATGTCCGAACAGTGCGTTTGTGCCTCCCTTTTTGTTTTCCCTCTTCTATCTCTGGGGAGAGTGGAGACCACTGGCAACTTTCAGGAACTCGGTACCTGCTTGATGACATACAGACCGACACACACAGGTGTGCATGTGCAAGTGCTCACTCACATATGTACACACATGCACAAACAAACACATGCCAATTGCACATGATGATCTTGCTAGCTCTCTGCTTTGATGGATTGAGCAGCTGGAATCGGAGCTCGTCGTCAAGCGGGCTTTTCTCTCGCCTTCTTTAGATTGTGGCTTGGGGGGTTTGCGAGTGTGGTCCCGTCCGAGATTTTTAGCTTTATGTGCCTGCAAAAAAAAGAATCTATCTTGTTTTTGTCACTTCACTTTCTCGTAGCAAATGGCTGTGAAGTGCGCCAATTTTGACTTCTTTGGCATGGGTGGAGGCAGGGGCGCAGTGTGAGTTGTGATGGAGTTGGTTTCCCTCGCCATGGGGTCTTTGTGAGAGAATTCCGAAAGTGTTTGCTGTGGGTGTGGTTCCTCTGGGCTGCTGTTTTGGAGTACGTGCCGATGATTGGGCTCCCACTGGCAGTGCGGGTGTCGTGAGAGCAGCTTGCGGCAAATGGACTGTGACCGATTGTGCCGTGTTCGAGGGCACTCTCAGTGGGCTGCGGGTGTGATTACCATGGGCCAAGTTCCTCAGGCCATTCGGAAAGCGGTGGTAGGGGCGTTGTGGTCGGTTGGGGCTGCGTGTGCCGCGCAAACCTCCTGCCAAGGTGTGCCTGTTTTTGCCGAACGTTTCGGTGAATGTGAATGACGATGGTGATGGCGATGGTGGTACCTCACATTGCGGGCATTTGTTTCAGTGATCGAGCTTTTTCCTGGAACGGGAATTTTGTTCGTTTGTGACGTTTCATGAAATTGGTCATTGGTGCTGACATCTGTTTTTTTTTATGTGTTGCGTGCAGCTTGATGAGTATATTGGCGTTCCCAGCCCGTCCCTCCATCTTCCCTCTTGCAAGTGTGTTGTTAAGGCAGGCATGTATCCGTGCACTTCGTACTCAACAACACAAACATGGCTGACTTTGTTTTCACTCTGATTCTTTCTATCTGCATTTTGGAATGGGTTGGGTACTACGATGAGACGCACAATTCGTGCCAGGCCTTTATGTTACCAGGAGGGCTCTGTTGGCAACCGGCCGGTTGGACCACAGGTGGTCTAACCGGAATTCCGGTTGGGCCCAAAAGTGGGCAATTTTTTATTGTTGTTTTTTGAAAGAATGATCTCCCCGAATCCGCAAAGAAAACTGTGAACAGCGAAGCTTGTAAGAGGGGTAGGGGGGTCTCTTATACACATCTAG